GGTCCTCCAGTACAGGGGTTAGAATAGAGGGTACCTCTTTTTTCTGTAGTCTGTGTTGGTAGGGGAACCCTCCCCCAAAAAAGAAACGGTAAAAGGGCACTACTGGGGGACCTAGAGAAGTACCCACTTCTGCTCCCGGCGCTTTCGAGCGCCTCGTCGCCGTTGGCTTCCAGCTCCTTCCGCAGCGCCTCCGGGTCGTCGTAGGCCACGTTCTGGAAGTTGGGCACCTCGTGCCCCCCACCCCCCCCCCCCACGGGAAAGACGACCAGAAAGTGGGAAGATCTCTCAAACCTCACCCCCCCCTCCTCCCCAACCCCCCAACCCCCCCTGCACCTGCAGGGAAAGACGACCAAAAGCGGAAAAATCCCTCACTCACCCCCCCCCCCCAGGGAAAGACGACCAAACAGTGCAAGGATCCCTCAAACCCACCTCCCCCCCCCCCCCCAATGTTGAGTCAACCCTAGGATCAAGAAATCAGTTTGGAGACTTGCAAAGGAGGATCCACTCCAAGGCGCAAAGGGCCCGAAGCCGGTGGTGGAGCTCGGGTCGTCGGAAGTGCTGATGGCGGCGATGGTCCTGAACAAACCACAGCCGTGAGTGGTGAGTTTGGGTCTTGGCCTCAATCCCTAAATGGGGGTTTCCCTTTAACTTGCAGGTGCGTTAGGGGAAGACCCGGAATGAACCGGAAGGGGATTCTCTGAAAGGAAGCCACCCGTTGGATGGGTTTTGCAGGGGTCATTACATTTCTCATTGCCTATTGATTTTGCAAGTCAAACCAACTCCAAAACCTGGAACGGCCATTTGGCGGGCTTCCTCTGACTAGGCTCCTTCGGATCCAGCCGAAGTTCGCAGTTCATGGAACACAAGTCAGCCGGACATTTTAGCGAACACAATGGACGGAACACACCTAAATCGGACATAACCTTTGTGCAGATGCATCGGGGGGCTTGCAGCATTTATTGGGCGAACCATCTCAGTATTGGCACTACATCGGTGCCAGGCAACCAATATAATCAATATCTGCGTCTGATTCATAGCCACAGTCAGCCCGTGTCCTTTTATAGCTTGCATGCGTGGCCCATCCATAGAACTCGGCTTTTGGTTGGGAGGGTGTCGTTTCCAAAAGCCACGTCGAGACAAATCCGGATTGAACCTCTTGAGACCAAGCAATCCCAATCTAAGGCCAGGGATTGAAGGAAAGGCGCATTGACGAAACGCTTCATGCAGGACATTGCATTGGCAACATTTCGGCAATGCTGATTGAAACAAGATCCTCGCCTCAGAACAAGCTGAGCCTTGACTACTATGAAGGATCCGGCCAACAATTGCCCAAATTTGGCCAACTCAATTCAGGATGTTTCTCAGTCCACCGCATTCGCTTTGCCTGCCAGCCTTCACTTTGGGCGCCCTCCCGTTTGCCCAAGCAAAACCACATCCCCAACCAAAAATATTTTCTCTTGGAACCTTCTCGAGGATTCTGACCGAAGGCTTGGTTTCAATTGGCAGTGGGTCAAAAACCCAAAATGCAATCCTGGTAAGTGGCAACATGGACCAAAACCTGTGGTCCCCTAGTGGTTTAATTTTGACCCACACCCAACTGGGGCTTTGGTCCGTCCGCCCGCCCGCGCCTGCCCCAAAAGTTCCCACTGGCGAAGAGCACCTTTGCCCTGCCCTCGGGGATGCCCTTCACGTCGTAGCCCCAGCGCCGCGCCAGCTTGATGGCCGTCTCCCCAGCCTACCGGATTTGGGGGGGGGGGGGGGGGGGTTAGCATGGACACATGGGCACCGCGGGGGGGGGGGGGGAAGGTTTAGCAAGCCGCCCAAGGCGCAAAACCAGGGATGTGGGGAGCGTTTTTGGCTTGAAGCATGGCGGCGGGTTGAACAAAAGCCCACTGCAACCACAACTATCACAACGACGTCGATGACAACGACGACGACAATCTCAATTTCGTCAGAAACAGCAGCAGAAAGAGGCAACAAGTGCATTTGGCAGCAAAAGTCTCGCCTCCACCCCGGTATTCATGGGCAAGAGTCGGTCAAAGCCGAAGTACTCCGTGGCAAACTTACCTGCGAGCTTTGAATCCAACTCCTTCACTTTCTGACACCACGGTCTATGGAGGTGCCAGAAGTTACTTGCAGTTGGCTTTCTTGGCGCCGGAACAAAGTGATGAAGAAACATTCGGGCTGTCTTACTGTTGACTCTTAGCTGATAACCCTCGTCCAGGTGCTGGGAGGAACAATCCTGACGACTTACCAAGCTGTTTGCATGTCATGGGCTCTAAGCTCGCTTTACCCCTCGACCAACGAGCTCGCCACATAGTGCAGATAGTTGCGGATCCCTGTTCTCGTACATTACTTAACGTGGGATAAACGGGAAAGCATCACAACTCACATGCCACCCCAAATGATAGTTGGTCATGACACTGCCATACCGCAGTTCGTGTGACCAGATTTTGCCTTGCAGCTTCCTTGAAAAAATAGAGGACGCCCCTACAAGTTTTGAAGCCCTCTTTCAGGCGGCCCCTTTCAACTTTTCCCACGTCTCCCAGTGAAAAGGCAATCCCTTTGCTTGGGTGCTGCAGGTCCCCCAGCAACAAGTTTTTAACTTTTTGCTGGTAATCCAATGTGAATCCAACAAGTTCAAGTCTCAAGATCCAACCCAATAGCAGTAGAGTTTGGTTAGTAAGCCTGGATATAACTATGATATAACCCACTTAGGAGACTTATAGCCATGGCAAGTGGCTCATAATCAGGCTTACTAACCACTAAGTACCCGATCGCCCCTTTAAGCAGTGAAGGTGAACCCCTAGAAGTTTAAGTTTTGGGGCCCTCTTTCAGGCAGTCCCTTTCGATTTTCCCACGTCTCCCAGTGAAAAGGCAATCATAACGAGTGCCGTCCGCTTCTCCGCTTCTCCGCCACCTCCGCCACCTCCCGACCCGCGACCCGAGGCGCAGTACTCCCCGAGGGCGTCGTTGTGGAAGGCGCGGGAGGTCAGCGTCAACTTCTGCGCCTCTTGGTTCAGACCCCTGGGAAGAATGAGAAAATATTTCCAGTAGTGATAAACTCCTGTTGCGGTTTTGGAAAAAATGCGAAAGTATTTCCAGTAGTGAAATTGATTCCCTTTAAAACCAGCAAGGGAAACTTAAAAAATATTCTTTTCAGGCAATGGAAGGCCTGCGCCGTCAGGGCCCCGATGATCTTGGAATGGCAATGGCCCTGGTTCACCGCGGAATAGGCCGAGAGGAAGTCGAAGTATTCCTTGCCTCTGGCAAATCCAAGAGCAAAATGGGAGTGAGTTGGGCTGGGTTCGAGGGGACCCGTTTTGATTCGGCTTAGGGAACCCAACCAAATACCATCGCTTGTTGTGGTTTTCCCCCCTATTTGGGGACACTACCCAACGCCCAAATGTCTTCGGGCCCTTGCAAAGTGCAACAGATGCATCTTCGAGACCATGCCTGCACAGAAAAAGCTTAATCTCGGGGACCCTGATTTTTCACGTCCAACCCAAAGTCGGCCCAAACAGTTCTAGGTGCAAACCAGGGGTGGGGTGTATCTGCAAAAACTGAACAAATATCAATTGACAGGTCTCTTTCTGGTTACGTTACCCTTATGGGCAATTCAGCCATGAGTTTTAATTGGGGATCCCTCATCATCATCATCATCATCATCATCATCATCATCATCATCATCATCATCATCATCAACAAAGGTGTTTTTCCTGTTAGACATCATCACTATATGGCCATTTCGTCAATCCTCGTATCAGATTTACCACCCCAAAGCTGCCTTTTTGCTACGGGAATTCGAGCGCTTCGCCAAACAAGAAAAAACCCATCGGCGAGTCGCCATCCAGATCCCAGACTTTGGTGCCCAGGCCCTTGTTCAGGACGACCGGGAGCGGATGGTAGTTATGTGCTCCGAACTTCCTCGCCGTGCTTCGAGAACCCTTGCACCCGAACCTTGAATGGGGGGGGGGGGAGCAGGTGTCTCTCCCCATATGACCGCCAATTCCTTTGGGGTTGATATCTTGAAGGAAACCTACGGAAAACGCCACACCTCTATGGCTCCCCCTCTCTCTCTCTCTCTTTCTCTTTCTCTTTCTCTTTCTCTTTCTCTTTTTCTTTCTCTTTATCTTTCTCTTTCTCTTTCTCTATCTTTCTATCTTTCTTTCTTTTTCTCTTCCTCTTCCTCTTCCTCTTCCTCTTTCTCTCTTTCTCTTTATCTTTCTTTATATTTATCTTGCTCTCTGCTTCTCTCTCTATCTCTCTCTCTCTCTCTGTCTCTCTCTCTCTCTCTCTTTCTCTTTATCTCTCTCTCTCTCTGTCTCTCTCTCTCTCTTTCTCTTTCTCTTTCTCTGTCTCTTTCTCTTTCTCTTTCTCTTTATCTTTCTCTTTCTCTGTCTCTTTCTCTTTCTCTCTGTCTCTGTCTCTTTTTTTCGGTTTCTCAGGGAGCTTTCTTGCTGCTTTTTGCTTTGTCGTTGTGCTTTGACTATCTGTTGTGTTTGTCGTTGATTTTTTTGGGAGAGGAGAGGGGGGCGGGAACAGGGTGTGCCCAAAAAGAATGGTCAAAGGGAGTGCGATGCACCAGGCTTCTCTTCCATCTTGATGACGGCCTCCTGGGTGCTTGTCAGGGACATAGCGAATCTGCGGGTACTCGGCGCACGTCTCGTGACCGTTTGCAGGAACCGTTGCATCGAGCAAGATCCGCTGATCCCGGCGGTAGGCGCTCCGGCCAATCCTTGAGCCAGGTGCAAACGTCGTTTGCCATGCTTCCCACTGGTACCAATAGAATAGCCCCGACTCCGATTGTATCGTGTTCAGCTGCATTTGGATCTATCCCAAAATTCAGGACCCCCAGAAAGGATGGTTTCCTCTTTTCCCTCCAAAGCAACCCCACAATGGCGCCGCGAACAAGAACCGGTTTTTGCCTGCTGGGTTCTGTGGGGCAAGGCTGGCCTCCTCCCCCCCGACCACCTCCCTATGTGAGTCACCCATCGCACCTGCCGGTGTTCGGACCTGAGGCCGGGGCGACGGAGTAAGGCGGGGGAGGGGTGGACAGGGAACCTCAAGCAAAGAGCAGCGGTCGAAGAGCCCGGACATGTGTTCAATCACTCCTGGCGACAAAAAAACAGATTTCAAGGAAGGAGGCGCAAAGGAGAAAAGAGTGGGGCAGAAGCGCAGGACTTGTGGGCGGTCCAGCAAGGAGTCGAGCTTACAAGGTGCCCGTAAGGGAAAAGTTATCTTCCGAAGCTAGCTTTCCTGATAATCTGTAGTGGGCTCATCCCAGTTACCCACCCCAGCTGGTCCAGGGCCCCGAACATGTTTTGAGTGGCCGATTTGTGCCTTTCCCTGTGTTTGGGATGGTGCCTATGGTGCCTTCCAACGGGTGTGACAGCGTCGCTGGTGGGAACACGCTCTTAGCCCCAGATTTACGATGAACTAGAATGTGGTGGGGTGCTACTAAAAACCACATGTGTTCAGCATGGGCCTCCAAACCCCCCCCCTAGTCCGGTTGCATGCTAGCAATCGCTTCCACAGTTCATCATGTCGGTCAAAGGAAAATGCCATAGATGTTACCCATCGTCGAACAGTTTTTTGAAGTTGGCCCTAGTGCGTCCAGAACTCACCACACAAAAGGGATTTTGAACGGGTTGGAGCTAGGCCCAAAGGAGGTAATTGCCTACCTTTACCAATATGTGGGTCACGACTTGTTTGCCTCATCACAAGTTTCATGTGGGCCAAAACATATGATGGCTCCTCCCGAAACACACTTGTTTGACATGCCGAAGATTTAGAATGCTTGCAGCTGAGTCATTGCCAAATCCCGAGGAAGCTCAAGGCAAGCAGCAGCATATCAGCATTCCGCTGCTTCTGTTCCCCAAAAAGCTGACGGGAGGGTCTCAGAAGACTTTCCTTTTGGAGAAGCCCTCTGTCCACATCCCGGGCAGTACCCGGTAACCCTAACACCAAATTTCCACAAACAAATGGGCTCTCATTGTCGAGTGCCCCTGGATCAGGTAGCCACATCGTGCACTTCGCCCTAACCCACCAGAAGCAAAGGGCCCTTTTAGAGGAAAATTGCCTTCTGCTTAGGTGGGCACATTGCATATTCACATGGCGGACAGGATTCTTCTTCCATTGGTTCGTGGTTGAGCCTTTTAACCCATTCAAGAAGGAGGGGGGCTCGAGTCAGCCTTCGCCAGTACATCCTTACGGACAAACAAGCGAACTTTGCAAAGCATGTCAAGGACGAAAAAACCCGTTGTGGGGCCCAGCTGCGCAGCGACTCTGATAGATCAGTGTAATTCTTTTTGGGGTAGATTCCAAGTTTAGTAGTTGATTGAGTTTCTCTCTAAATAGGGAACCTCGTAAAATTACTGTAGTGGTTTCCTTTTAGTTTTCCTTTCAACTAACCACCTTTTCCACAAGGGGCGCCCTAAAAATTGACACAATTAGTAGTCCAGTTGAAGAGTGCCACTGAACAGCCGGAATGAGAGGTGACTGGAGCTGGGCTCCCAAGAAGAACCTCCACGCATGGGTTGCGTCAGTTTTGTTGGAGGGGTCTTCAGACCAACTGGGCAGCCTATCCCAGTGACCCTGAAAGAAAATAGAGTCTTTTGGCGATTGACCATTTTAGAGGGGAACGCAACAAAGCGGGATTTCAAGGGTGCCACCATCTAGGGTACGAAGAAGCTTTCCATAGCCTCATGCGCTGGTGGTTGGGACTAGCTCTATGGCCCAAGTGACGCATCTAAGGCTTTCCTCCCACGCTGATGTGACCATTGTACTCTTCAGAAACCACCTATCCCTGTGTGGCCCATGTGAAGCGAAGAATCTTTGGAGACCCACTGACTCCCTGATTCCCTTCCATGAGTTGGGCTCATAGGAAAGGGAAAAGCATCAGCAGAAAATAGCATTTTCTGATTCTCGGGACACTCATGCAAGCCTATTTAGATTGAGATTTAGTGTGCAACCACTTACCCTCCCTCCCACTAACATGGCAGCTGACACGGGTACCCCCAAGAGGAAAGTCATTTTCCGGGTACCCACACGTGCTATGTTTGTTGGAGGGAGGGTAGCGTATTCCTTCAAGTTCATAGTCTGGCGGGTTTGATTCGACTCAACCGCATCGCGGGGTCGAGTCGAGCCACCAGCCGCCTGGGCACCCGGGCGTGGCTGGCAGCGTGCCAGGGACTGCGCCAAGGGGTGGGCCGCGCCGAGGCTGCGCTGAACCACCTGCGAACATCCGGAGCTACCCCAACAAACATAGAACCTGCGCCGGGGGTCCTAATGACCATTTTCCTTCTTAGAGGGACCCCTGTGCAGGTCCTATGTATGTTTTTGCGGGGGTACGTGGAACTGATTTGGTGAAATCCCCACTTCGCCTGTTTGTTTGATGTGTCTAAATTGGGGGCACCCAACGCATGGCGGCTTTCAGTGTGCTTCCCCTAAGCCAAGGGGAAGGCGGACCCCCCAAAAACAAACCCGGGGCGGCAGACATGTTCCCTTGGACCAAACAGGGGCCATACACAAAATCTTGGACTGAGGGAGTTCAAAGAGCGGAATCCACCGTACCTTCGATTTCGTTGCTTGAGGCCCGATGTGGTCTCCAAGCGCTTCGACCCCCAAAAGGGTTTTGGCGAAAACCCCCAGCCTCCCGCGCTTGGGTGTGGGCAAAGATCGCCTTGCCCCACTCCTGAAAAGCGCGGCCGGGTGTGAGGTGCGCTCTGTTGGGCAAATCTGGAGCCCTGCGACGCACCATCCTAAACTCATGGGGGCTGGGGGGGAGGGCGGGGAGGGGGAGGGAGCCCAAATGAGCCCTTAATGAGGCCGTATTTAGGAAATAGTTAGGCTCCTTCCCCCTCCCCTCCCTCCCCCCCCAGCCCCCATGATAACAATCCAAGGCTCCAGTTGAAGAATTAAGCTACTGTTGTACATTTGCTCACAGTCTTACAACAATGTTGACCATGTCCAGATTTAAGGCATTCCTATGCCATCCCGCATGGCGCCTTTGTCTGCTAAAACAAGATCCAAGCTGTCCAAATCTGAGACGCAAGCCCGGAAGCAAGCCGTAAGGTACAAGGCGCCGATTGCCTGTTGATTTCGCTAGGTCGGATTCCAGGTCATACGCACGAAGCAACTAAAGCACACACACACACAGTGAAACTTTGGTTGTTTCCCTCGAAAAGACAACCACCTCCGGCATTCTCAACTCCAAGATCAAACGTTAAAATCTTAAAGACGTGCTCACTTCCTGTTACTGTTTGGACTGGGCGAACGCTCCAAACAGTTTCCACTGAACTACTTTTCTCCTACCCAAAATCCAGCAGCTGTTTACTTCCCCAAGACTCTTTTTTCCCTGTCCTCAAACGAGTTTTCTTCTCCAGCAACTGGGGTGCAGGGCTTGTGCGTAGGGAGAAGCGATGCGTCTGCCTCCAGGACCCTCCCGCCTTGAGAGCTTCGTGTGCTTCTGCGGCCTGGCTCGGGAAGGGGACACCACATCTTGGTCATCTGTGCTCCAAAAATCACATGCGCGTGTGTGCTGGTTCTGTTTCATGTAGTATTGGAGGAGAACCCGAATTTGAGGTGATCTGGAAATCCTGTGCACAAACTGCTCTCTCCCAGTTGAAGCCAATCCGGGTTGACCATTCCCAGCAACCAGCAAACAGGGTGGAATCCGGTGCACCAACTGGAAGCAAGTGGGATCTCAAAGCAAAGAACCTTGATGGTGCCCGAGCTCATTCTACCCAGATCGGTCAGCTTGGCAACAGGTGCAGAAATCAGGATGTTATTCAGAGCTATGGCAAGGGAAGTCATAGCAGGAGTCGGTCATGCTGACACGAGCTTCCTTTGCACAAGCTGATGCCTAAAGGGGGCAGGCAGGGCAACTATTAATGCCATTGCGGGCCACGAGCAATCGGGCGTCGTGATCCTGAAAGGTAAGCCCTGGGCCAAACAATGCACTCCTTTGCGGTGTTTTTGTGTGTCTGGAATGTTCATCTATTTGTCTTTCAGGCAGCAAACGCTGCTCATTATACTGCTCAAGCAGCAGCAAACACACCCAAGCACTTCTTTGCAGTGGAAGCAGATTGCACGTTGCGCAGGAGGTTCCGTTGAAGCGTCAAATATGTGCAAGCAGGCTCAGGCTGAACTAACGCAACGACAAACTTCGGGCGATGAACACACTCCTTGCTTTATTCCATTGCCCCTCTTAAGGTAAGTCCGGCCAACTTCACCCTCTACCCCGGAAAGGTTCTCAGAACCCTCCAGGAGGAGAACCAGGTTCGCGAACCAATCAAATGACATGGGTTATTCATGGTGCCCACTCAGTACGTAGATGCTTTGGCTATGAATACATTTGTGACTGGTACATATTGAAAGAACCTCAAAGCACAAGACAATGCCAAAAGAGGTCCCAAGGCCCATTGACACGATCCGCTGGTGACAAGCATTCTTGTGGATCACGTGATTGTTGTGGATCCTTGCGTTCAGCTGCTCAAGTTGGTGCCACTTCCGCATGCAAAGTGGTTTCTTTCCGGAATGTTGTTTCTGCACGCTATAAAAGTTCCGGCTACACCGCACCCTCTGACGCAAAGCAGTACGGTTATAGGATAACGGAAATGCTGTATGCAATGAGAATGTCAATCGTCATGCGCCAGCACATGGTTCCCGGGAATGTGGAGACCGCCCAAGCCCGTGCCAGCGGCTGGCCTCTTTGATATCCCCTTCGAAAAATGGCACACTGCGGGCAGTTTTTGGGACATCCCCCTGGGATAAGTCTCACAAGACTCGCGGCTTTTGGAAACTGGATTGGACAGATGGAAGCTCCCAGAACGCCGTGCGAAGACTTGGTTACATTTACAGTGGCCAGCTGGGAGCTTCCATGTTAGCCTGGAGGGTAATATATGCCATTTGTTTCCATTCTTGGGAAGTGGCTTGAAGATCGGCCCAGGTGACAAAACCGGAACAGGCGAGAAGCGTGCTGTTCCCCTGGGTTGTAGCTTTGGTTAACCTTCAAGTGACCATGGGTAACTGTTCCCATTTAGTGGACAATATTCTTTGCTTGGTGGTTTTCCCCAATGGTCATCCCATGTAAAGGACCTTTTGATCAATGTTATATGGGTGCTGCTTTTGAGGGTGTCCCCTTTCACTTTGGCTTCGGGAAAACAGTCGATTTTGACCCCCTATTTTCAGACGCACACACACACACATGATGTCCGTTGAAGGAAGCATCTAAAATGAAAGGCATCTTGCTGGGGAAGGCTTGGGTTCGGACATCATCTGTGGGGTTGCGGTCAGCAGCGCCCGTTTCACTCGTTGACTTTGGTTCTACCAAAATGGTTCTACAGGTTTCCATGGGCCTTACCGCAATCCTGGTCGCAGGAGTTTTCGTTTGGGGTTTTCATCCCAGTTCCTCAGTGATTCTAGAAGCAGGGCAGTTTGAGTGGGGAAGACGCCTACAGATTGATTCGGTGGGTGGCCTCCACTGAACTGAGATTTTCTTCACGCCCCGCTTACGCGGCCGTCGGATCCAAAACCCGGGCAAGCGCCTTGTGGAAGGACACCGCCAGCATGGCGAAGTCATTCTCTGTCGGTTCTGGCCGGCAGTTGGCTCGGACCCCTAGATGGCTTCGGCGAAAACCAGGCAGCCCCAGTGACTCCGACAAGGGTGCCCCTGAACAATTTCTGGTGAACACTTTTTGTGAGGATGCGGTCCCAGAGTCCCGGGACCCAGGACCGGTCCTGTCCCAGGACCCCCAGGACCGGCCCCAGGACCCTGCCACATGTCCACCAACCACCCGTCAAACAAATCCGTGTTAAAGCTCATAGCCGTTTTGTTCCGGTCCCAAACGGATGACTCCTCTTTTTTGTATTTGCCTCTCTGTGTCCACGTTGAACATATCCCTTTTGGGTCGTGGCTGCCGTAAGAGAGACTGTTACATTTGGTTGTCTACACCCCTATACCGAGGTTGATGGCCATCCCTATCAACCCCAAGTGTTTCGGGCGGCATGCCTGCACGCCTGCCTGGAGGTTCCCTAACGAGCCTGGGGACGGACAACAAATATCACCCAACCTTTCAAAGTCCTAAAAAATGTTCAGGGCTTCGCCCATAAACATTTAACAGGTTTTTGGGCTCGAGGGTACCTCTCTGGGGTTGGACTTGGACAGGTTGGCCTCTTCTTCGCAGGCAAAGCCGGTGAGCGGAAACACGCCCCGAGCACAAGGGCTGCGCATGACAAATTAGGAACCTCATTTCTTGCACCATGACAAGGTTGCCCTTGGAAGAGCTGCAGCCTTCCTCCTTTGAAGGCATGCCAAACTCATCCCCTCAAAGACGGTGCCCTCATCTATGGCAGAAGGGCTTGTTGCCCGAATGCACCTGCCAGGGGCTGGTTTTTGCAATACGCACTGGCAGTGACACATTTGGCAGTAATCCTCTCTGGGCGTCTTTCCTTTGAGAACCGGTGCTACAATCATGAAAGCCACCTCCGCAAGTAAAAATGAATTGATCCTGAAATCACAGGATTTTCCCACCAAGCCCTAGGCCTAACCCTCAAACATTTGGTTCATTTACACCTTGTATGCTGCTTCTTTGGGATTTAGGCGTATGGCCCCCAGAGGGGCCCGGCGCACTTTGAAGAACCACAAAGTATCATGCCTATCTGATTGGCATTTGTGAAAGCCCGCCTATGTTCAGCCCAAGGCCCAAAATGATTACCATCACAATCTTGAATCAAACCACGGTCGAAAATGAACACATGGCAACTCCCGAAGCTTCAAGCCCTTGAAGCGCACCTGGCGTGCCAGCTTCTCCAGTCCTGGAAAATGAACTGAAGCCCGCGAGCTGACATCCACTAAGCTGCAGTAAACCCACCGCAAAGCACGACAAACAGGGTGCTGCTTGTGGAGCAAGCATGGCCCTGGATCCATAGACCTCTAGCTCAATAGGAGGGTGCCCCCAATGTTGAAGGGCTCTGCATTCTGCCAGTTTGATTCAGTTAGGCCCAGTTATAGAATGTATAGTCTATTGCTTGCTTCACTTTGGGTCGCTGGTGAAATGTAAAATGTCTCTTAAGTCTACCCCGAAAAAATCAAGTTGCCCGCAGGTGCACGCGAAATGTCATGCCGAATGTAGCATCACGCATATGGAGAGCCTCAGATGGGGCACGCTCGCTCTCATGCCAGGGGCTACTCAAGTGGGTCGCGCTGCAGCAAGGATTGTAATCCAACCGATTGGCCGCTTTTGAGGTGCTCTTGTTTAGGGTTGCGACACATCCCGGAAGCTTGTGGTCGGGAGCGCCCCGGCCCCCCCCCTGCAAGAAAGGAGTCAAACAAAAAAGACATGATGCCCCTTAAGTGGGGGGTTCTCCGTAGGAAAACGAAAGCCCGCCGCCAGGAAAGGCTCTTCCCGCAATGGGCCTTAGAATTCTGAGAGCAACTCCTCACTGATAAACCCATGGAAGTAGTCCCTCTGTCAGGGGGCAGGCACTGTCTTTCCTGGCGCCTCCCCCAACACCCCGACGATACAACGATTGGACGTGGAGCGGCTGGCAGGGGGGTGCCAAACCTTTTGCCACTGGCGGAGGAGGCCCCCTTTTGCGCCTCCAGATGCGATGGGGTGGACGCTGGCAGTGCCCCGCGGCATGCGGTTTGCTGCCCCTGTCTTAGTACCCCTGCAAGGGATTGCGGGGGGAAGAGCTTGCTGGCGGCTGCTGCTGTCGATGTGTCGATGACGTCATGCTGTCTTGCCCCTATGCTGGTCCGCTCGGGGAGCTTGGGGACCTGCTCTGTGCAGTGGATGTGGGTGGCGGGCATGACCAGGATGGCGGCAGCTGCCTGGGTGCAACAGTTTCCTTGCCTGCGTGGGCTGGCCTTGGCCGCGAGGCTACGTAGCCCCAAGCCGCTGCAGAGCTCCCTGTGATGCTTGCGGACATCCATGGTTGAAGTAGATGGCACCATTTGCTGTTGGTTGAGTCATCCCTTCATCTGCATTTACCCTGGTGTATAGTCAGGGGTTGACTGGACCTGCATCCTCCCTGTTCAGCAAGGACTTGGTCCACTCGGTCAACAAGTCGTCCCGCATTTTGAGGGGTTCTCAAAATACTTTTCAACCGGCAGTTCCCTACAAACCGCAATGAGGGTAGGTCTGAGGATGTCACCTGGTGCCACTTTGCACCAACTAGGGGCGGAACCATGGTCACAGGTTCCTGGACCAAGGCAGAATGGATCAACAAGAAAGAGGACACCTTACATCTAAGTGGCACCCCTGTGATCCTGCCTAGTGGCCCTGGTAGGAACAGAATTGGAACCCTTTCTGCGGTGGATTTCGTGTTTCGCCCCGAACCCACCGAAGAAGCGCATTTTTTGAGGGTGCCACTGCAAAAATGGGGTGACCCAGCGGAACAAATCAAGCGAGAGTGCTCCCCGTCCTGCTCAGCACTTGCCCGCTGATCTGGGCCTCATGGGCAAACTGCTGCTTCGCAGTTGGGATGGATGATGCTGCGCTACTGTGGATGGACGAAATCCATTTCTCACCGCCAAAGGAGCCCTGGAATGATGATTCATCGGCAAAACCAAGGCCAGAACTAGTTTTTGATTCTCCGGAAAATCTTTTGGGCCGCTTGCTCTTCTTTACCCTCCCCCCGCACCCCCCCCCAAAAAAAAGAAGAAGAAAAAGACAGAGGCTTGTATACTCGTTGTAAAGTAGGCTGGCAACCAGGGAGCCAAAAAGACATAAACCAAGGGTTCTGCAGTTCCACTCCCCAGATCCCAACACAGTCTGTCCACCCATTTCCTTGGGACCCTAGCGCTACATATCACGAATCGATGGACTCGTGCGCCGGGGTTCATAGACAGGGGGGGGAGGTGCAAAGCTTGAGGCTGCCTATGTGAGGCGGGGCCAAATCCACAGGTGTCCCTGATGACAAGAGAATCGGAACCATAGGTGGCCTGTTGGAAAAATAGATGGGTTTCGCTGGTAAATGGAGTAAAAACCAACCATCTAAACCAGGGCCCTCTATTCTTTAAGCAAACCGACCAAAAAGGACCCCTATGATCGGAACCCTTTCTGGGGTCGATCCCGTTCTTAGTGGGCCCCACGAAACAAAAAGGGATCTGAAGATCAGGGGTCATGTGCATTTTTGGGGAAGTGTGTGTAGAACTACACTGGTTTAAATGTTGGCTTCGTTTGTAGTGTGGAACGGTAGTTGAGTATTGTTTTGTGGCCAGCACTGGGGGCCACAGTAATTCCCCCTCTCAGTTGGATGCCCCCCCCCCCAAAGCCGTCAAAAACAAAAAAAACAATCCTGTGGTGCCCAAACCACCTTCCAAGGGCGAAACGCCCAGCTCCTGACTCTGGCACTCAATTGTACGGCGGCTTGCTGAAGTATAAGGGTGCGGTGTTTTTTTTGTGGCAGCTGGGTGGTTGATGAGCGGGGTGCCAGGCCAGCCCGCTTCTAGCAACCATGTAGCTGTGGGTAAAAACAATGGTACCATTTTGGGATAGGTGCACCACCCATTTTAGTCTCTTTTAGTGGGGATTGGGATGTTCACTGGGGGTACGGTTTTTTTTCCCACGGCCATGTACCAAAATGGCATCTTGGTTAGAAACAAAGACTAAAACCTGCGTAACCCTAGCTCTTCAATTTGGGTCTGGATTTTTTTCTGGGAATTTGTCCCGTTTTTTGTTTTTGTTTTTTTTTTCCCCCCCCCCCTGGATTTTCTGTCTTGGAACTGGCAAATGCGATCTCCCTTGGTTCTGCTTGGTTTGACTTTCCCGGCATCGTTTCAACTCCGCAGCATCGCTTTTCAACATCCTCAGCATCACGAGTTGGGGTTGTTAGGCTGGGTTTAGGGTGGGTTCAAGCTTGGCCAGGGTTGGTTCAGGGTGGGTTCTAGGCTTGTTTAGGGAAAGTTTGCGGGTGGCTGCGCTTTAGGTACTGGGATGATGCAGTGCTGGTTTATGGTGGGCTTGTTGGGGTTGGTTTAGGGTGGGTTTAGGGCTGGTTTAGGGTGGGTTTAGAGTTGGTTTAGGCTGTGGTTGTGCTTAGGTGGGCTCAGGGTGGTTTGGGGTAGGTTCAGGGTGGCTTAGGGATGGTTTACTGTTGGTTTGGCTTGTTTGGGGGGGTAGGGGGTGGTTGGTGTCGGGTTTGCTTTGGGTTTGTTCAGGGTTGGTGCAGTGTGGGCTTAGAGCGGGTGTAGTTTGGGTTTAGTGCTGGTTTACGCGGGGGTTAGGGTTGGTATAGGGTTTGCTTAGGGGGGGTGATTTAAGGCTTGTTTAGTGCGGACTTAGGGTTGGTTTCGGATGGGGTCATGGTGAGTTTAAGGATTGGCTTAGGGTGGTTGGGGGTTTAGGGTTGGTTTAGGGTAGGTTTAGAGTTGGTTAGGGATAGTTCATTTCTGGTTTAGAGTGGGTTTGTTTGGAAGTTTTTTTAAGGGAGTCTTGCTGGTTTAAGGTTTCCTTAGGTTTTCTTTAGGGTTGGCTGTTTGGTTTTTAGGTTGGTTCTAGTTTTAAGTGGCGGTTTAGGGTGGGTTTAGCGGTGGTTTAGGATTGGTGTAAGGTGGTTTTGGGGCCAAACATAGGTTTAGTTTTAGGGGTGGGCATTGGATTCATTGGGGTTCGTTCAGAATTGTCGGATCGCCTTTTGAGGTCATCACAAAGCCTAACAACAGCCCTATACTGAAGCAGGGGGGTTGGGGCGCAGCCCCTCCCATCTGCAGAAACCTGGGAGGTAAGAAGCCACCAACCAAAAATCCAAGGAGGATGCCGAAAGCCGAAGCCGCCAAAAAAGTAAGCCAAAAGCCAAAAGCCAAAAGCCAAAAAGCCAAGAAGCCAAAAAGCCAAGAAGCCAAAAAGGCCCAGACTCCAAGAAGCCAAAGGCCAAAAAGCCAAGAAGCTAAGAAGCCAGATAAGCTAAAATCCAGCAACATTTCCCAAAGAAAAAAGGAAAAAAAACACCTCCCTTTAATTTTGAGGCACACCCATGTGGAATTTATTGGGTTGCCAATCTGTTGGTGAACGGGCAACACGGGCGCTATGCACAAGCCCTGGCCAAGCTGTTGCACCATGGCGAACTACTTGTGTGCCAAAAGGCCGTCCAGGCACCGCCACAGCGACACTGTTAAATGCTTCCTTGGCCAAAGCTCAGTTCGTATGTCCCGTGTTAGGAGAAAATGGTCATGATCATGACTGGGCTGCAAGTAAAATGAGCTCACCCCAGTTTGGGGATTCTTGCAATTCGTATGTATGCAAACCTTTGCGCATATTTATTGCGGGGCCTGATCAATAAACATGTAAGCAAACATAGAGCGAGCCATTCACAACTATTCAGCATGCAACACATCAAACATTCAAAAACTATTCAGTCTGCAACATGGTACCCAGCATGCAGAAAAAGGAACCAACACCCAAGCAGCTGGGCCTCGCAGCACCCAAGCGCCCAAGCGCCCCGGCCGCCATGGACGCGTGCTTCAGCGCTGGCCCGGGCGCCTACGGGATGTGGACGTGAGAGGGTCCTGAAATGGAACGCACCTACGAAATGGACACATGCTACAAACATGGCCGGCTAGCGTGTCAATACATGCAAGACAGGTGCTAGGATGATGCCAGACATATCCTAGCTGAACATATGCTGGACATATATTATATGGCTAAGCATATGCCGGCACTATACTAGAACGATTCTGGGAGCATGCCGGCAATCACAAAAAATGCCAGGTGTTCAAAATGCGAAGGGCCCGATTGGCTCAGTGGAAAACGAAAGGGTTCACCCATGAGACAAACTCACATCACCAAACCATGCAGAAGGTACCCGGCTCAGCACGCCAAATTGTGGGTACTCTTCTCAGGCTTATAACGGAAACCAAAAGAATCAGAATAAGGATACTACCCATTTTTGGGCGTTCACCATTTTGAGACCAGCCATATTAGCCGAGGTTCTGTCGAATCTGTTTCTACAAGTGTTCTAGCCTGCCCGTGTAGTTGTAACATACGCCACGGGCCAATCTTATTCCTCGTGGTTTTCTTGCATGAGTATCGTATTTGCCTCGCATCAGAAGAAGTAGGGAAGTCCTGCAGGCCCCAGACTGGGCTGAGGACTGACAAACATGCTAATCACTCCCATCCATTGCAGGTCCTCTGCACATAACTATGGGAAGCAAATGAGTCTCTGGTGGGGTGCGCCGCAAGAAGCGAGCAGGCAACATACAACACTGGATTACTCGACAAGCGTGTGCAACAGGTTGCTGACTGGGTTGTTCAAACGTGCGGGCCCCCAATCCCAGCCCGCAATCTGCCACAGAGGGAAGCCACAACCATTTGGCACATGGATCATTTGATTGCACAAAGTGTAAGCTTTTGCTGCTTCTCCCAAAAAGTTAAAGGCTTCAGGATCCAGCCCAAAAGCAGACCATATAGTTGTAAGCAACCCAGACTGAGCGGGTCGCCTCAGCTTTCGGCAAGACATAAGAGGGTCGCCTCTCGAGGGCTTTCGGCCAGGGCTTTGCCGCGCCCAGGAAGCGTCGGAGCATAGTGCGCCTCCGACTCCAAATGGCAGGAGGCCAAGTTCAAGTGTGCCGCAACCTCAGCTTAAGCACCGCAGCGGCCAAAAGTTTTCAAGCGGGTGAAGGTGTCCCTGTAGGGAACCACTGAAAGGGAAAAGAGGTGGGCCAAAATTGGGCAGAGGGAAAACACGAAGGCCAAAGTAAACAAACTTGTGTCCAAAAGGACCCCCCAAAGGTCACTCCATAGAGCCGAGCTGCGAGGGTGCGAAGGTCGGGCGCATCCAACTGGGCCTGGAAAACGCGGCCGCAAGCCACACTTGCCAAAAGGAGGGGGGGAGGGGGGGGGGGGCGCAAAGGGGGGGAGGAGGGGGAAGAGGGGGGAAGGAGGGAAGGAAGGTGAAGGAGGGGGAAAGGGGGTGGGGGCAGGGGAGGAGGGGAGGGGGGGCGGGCATGCATCAAAATAAAAAACCGACGCTCAGCCTCTTTCTCTTCGGCGTTGCCATTTGTGCGGCACAAACTTGCCAGCAGGGCCGCCTTCTCTGCGTCCAACCGGACCTCGCAGTCACTGTTTGGTGAGCAAGCAAAGGCGAGAGGCCCGGAATGTGATGCAGGGTTAATAGTGAACCGTCACGTTTCTTCAGTTTGCGCTAGCTCTCCAACAACTTGGTGAAATTGTCCACCAGGCTAGTCCATGTCAATGTGACAATGTCCCAGACCAGTGGCCAATAGGAAAAGCAGCGTCCTTCTTTTAGCGGGAACCCAAGCCGCAAGAGCAAAATGAAAGGAAGGACAAGCTCCACAAGAGGTCTGGGAGACTATTGGCTACGGCTTTGTAAAGGGAAGGAACTTAGGGGACGACAAGGAAAAAAGGAAGCCATAGTGGTTGGATGACGGCAACATGATGCCTCTTGCAGGAACCACAACAACTAACGTGACCCAAGTTCAATCGAGATGCCAGTGACACCCCCGAAAACGGCAGTTTGAGTGGCTGGCTTTCGCAAGCCCTTAGGAATTCATCCCTTGCGGCTTTTCAAATTTCTGAAACTGGTTGGCACAACACCAACCCATGTTGGTTTAGAAATTCACTTTACGGTGCTTAGGCATTGTGTCATCTGCTTTCACCCCACTGGTGCAAAACCAAAACAGTCTCCGAGACACCTGTCAGGGGCAGTGTAACGAGGGCTGTGCCTTCGAAGGTCTGTGCTTCGACCATTACAGACTTCCATTTGGTTAAGGCCCCAGGAAAAGTTAAAAAAAGTCCAGTAGTGATGAATCCCTTTTAAAACCAACAAGGGAAAATAATAATAATAATAATAATAATAATAATAATAATAATAAACATATTCTTAAGCAAATGGAGGCAGAGCCACTACACTGTGGAAAAGGCCATGCTAACCACAGCCCCCCCGCCTGGTGGTATTGGAGCGCCAGCTGCCTGGCTCGGAATCTGTCGGAATCGCCCTGGGCTAAGGGCCTAAGGGTGTCCGTGTAATTTTCCTATGATCATGACTTCATTTGTTTGAAGCTGCTTACAAAGTGGGGCAAATATCTGTCCCTGCATGGCTTCCTCAGAATCAGGCATGGGTCATTTACTGTGTTGGCCGTTGGCCCTTGTAACAAGCCGTCCACTTTCGGCGACTTAGATGGTCTCGGAGTTAGGTCGTTGGTCCCCCCCAATGAAATCCCAGTTAAGGTCAGGCAACGGGAAATCTAAGGTTTTCGCCATGTCGCAAATATCAGGACCATCTAAGCAGTGCTCTTGGGAACTCGCCATGTTCCGAAAGGGTGAGCTTCTGGTACTGGGTTCATTCGAGGAGCAGCCAAGCGCTTTTTTGCTTTTCCACCGCCAATTAACCTGCCCCCCCCCCCCCCTTAAAGGGCTGACTCCACAAAAATTCGGTTGGGCTTCTTTTGGGCTCCATGTTCCATGCGACCCTGCGGGAAGGTACAACAAAGACACGCCAGCTCGGCAGCTGCTGTATGGCATTGTCGAAGTCTTTCGCGCGCCTGCCGGAACTTGGGATGGAGGGCGATTCCCAGGCCTCGTACTCCAAACATGCGCTTGTTTAACAACAACACTTTTCTGCAGAAGTGGACCGCAACCCCAAGTTCCCACAACCCTCATCATGGTCGCGCGGTTGAAAGGGGAAATGAAGGAACCCAAAAGGTGAACTGGTTGCTACGTAGGAGACATGAAGAAGTAACAACTGTCACTGCGGAACCATCAGGACCTATTGCCCAACTTCTAACCAGTCTTTGTTTTGACAGTTTGAGTGTGTTTTCCCAAGAGCGACAGCTAGGATGGTAAAACCGCTCATGCAGGCACGGTTTGCGGGGGTTCTCGAAGGGATTTCCGAGGGGTAATCCCTTGCTGGCGCTTGGGTATGTTGCCCCGGTGCTTCATTCTGCGCAAACATGGTACTGATCAGAGTCACAGTGAAGCATGCTGCCTCAGCACACTTCTTCTCTACGTGGCTTGGACTGTTGGACCAAGGCT